AATGATTGAATCCTATATTACTTAATGAAATTATGCAGCAGAATTTAATGGTTTGGCCTCTCTCATTACTCAATATTTAATGCTCAATGAGGCATATATGGTTAGTTAATACCACTTGCTGTACTAGGTAAACAATCAGGCCAAACCATAATGAAACCAGCCTTTTGTATGTGTGTGATCAAAAATAATCTGTAGAAGTTATTAACAATCAAAAGAATGCACTGTTAAACCAAATTATTTAAAACTTGGAATAAAAGAAGGTGGGTGGCAGGACTTTTCCATATCATACTGGGATATTGTTTAACAGACAAAACCAAGGGTTATTTAATTATCTAAACCAATGTATCTGTGCTTGACTTGGCTATTTTCTATTAACTAAACACCCAGCCTCTGTGTCATGTATATTAACTTGTAGATATTGACTGGCAGGGAGCAAACTTAAGAACAATTGCTAGTGAATTTACCAGTGGCAAGGAACTGTGAAGGAAGAAAGAATATTTGATTGAGCATCACCAAAATGTCAAAAACTATACATTACTCACACAGTCATAAAAACAACCTTGAGTGACAGGTGTTATTATCTTCATTTTACAAGTAAGATAGTTGAAGTTCAACAGGTAAAATGATTTGCTACATTGTTTAGCTGGTACATGCTGGAGCCAGGTGTCAAATCCTGAATGCTCTTTTCAAAACCTACTCTCTTTTTGCTACATCATTCTACCCCCATAGTATGAACTTTTTCCTAATGACCACAAGATCATACCTGCCACTTTTGCAAAGTGAAAATTATATCTAAATGTCACCCCCCCCCACACACACACAAATATGCTACTTAGAAAGACAGATTCTCATGATGGGAAATGTAAGTACATGTTTCGTGTGCATAGAGTAAAACATCTGAGTCATCTCCTGAATCCAAGGAGATGTTGAAGATCGAAGTATTTAGTTGAAGATTGCTCTTTATCATCTAGCTAGATGGCCATTAGAAGTGTGTGAGACAAACCACCCCCTAGAAAAATCTGGCTAAACAATAAATCATTTAAAGTGCTTTACAGACATCACCTAATACATTTTCACAGCTCCCTGTGAACTACACAGCCCTGTGCAGAAGGACCCTAATTTGCTTACACACATTCAAAGGTAAGAGAGTGCAAAGTGGAAGGCCAAGGCACTGCTAACAACATTAAAATTACCTAAGGCCTAAGCATTTTCAGGCCATTTCAGCGGAAACACACCACTAAGTTAATTAACCTCTAGTGTTTTCCTTAACCTGCTTAATGAAAATGTCAGCACTATTTGGGCCAGAAGCCTGTGAAGCCCGGCAGGTCATTTAGAATTCCTCCCCGCCCCCATCCTAGTTGTCCCCCTCTGGATATGATCAATGCCTAATTCCCTTCGCCTTAGAAACAATGGGAGATATTCATGTTCTCCTTCCCTAAGAGACATGGTACCTTTAAAAAACAGTGAACTGTGAATTTCTACCTAATTTAAAACAACTGTTCTACAGAAAAGAGAATTTGTCTTAGCCTGTGAGGTAGACCCAAGGGAAAATAACAGTTACACTACCATTCCTCTCTCCCTTTATTTCTTTAACTGATAGGAAATGTTGATTCCACCTGAAAAAAAAAGTGCACAACTTGGGAATGGAATAGGAGGTGCAATTTTCTGTCCTACAAAGGGTATTGAAGGTGGTGAGGCGGCGCCACACTTCACAAATGAAAACTTAATATGTACAGTATTTTGAGGGGGTTAATTTTTAAACATACTTTAATATAGACAAAAAAAAACCTAAAGAAATGTTATGATGATCTTTCCCAAGCTTGTCCCCAACTCCAGTCTTTCCCGGGTCAGCAAATGGTCCCTGAAGCCACCAGCTGCTCAAGCCAGAAACAGGAGTCACCTCGACTCTCCCTCTCCCTCGTCTCCCACATGTGACCCACCAAGTTCTATCGATTTTACTTCTGAAATCTGTGTCCAATCTGCCCACTCCTTCCTCATCTCCTCTTCTTCCACTTTGTTCAAATTAGTACAGCGAGTGAGGCTACCAGGGTAGGAGTGAAGAGCTTCCTCAAAAGTACAGACCTTTGGTAAACACTACAATTGGTGACCAAAGGAAAGGAGATAGAAGAGCTGAAAAGGTGGGAGGAACAGAACACAACTGAGATAAACAGAGAATTTAGACAGAAAGCATCATAAACACAAGATTGACTCTCAAGCATTTCCCAGTCTGAAGACAAGAACACATATAAATATAAGGTGAACTCAGGATGTGATTCTTATGTTTAAGACTTATTATGTATGCCATGTTTACTGTATAAAACTTCCAAGTGATAAGATTTCTGTATTTTTTTTCAAAGTGAAATACTCCAGGTTAAAAAAAATACAAAAAAACACATAATAAAATAACTGAGTAAAACACATAATAAAATAACTGAGTAACTGATTCAGTTTTTGAATATTCAAGTAAATACAAATTGGGCGTTTGGTTTGGTTTTGCTTGGTTTTGTGTACACTCAACTTGATCAAAGAATCCAAAGGCTAATGTTCAAATTCACTGTGATAAAAACAAGTTTTCAGTCTTTTACAGGAAATTGTTCACTTGTTCAAACAAGCCAAAAATCAACTTGGGAAATATTTCTCTACTCCATAATCTCAAAAACTCTGAGAATACAAGTATCTCAATTTCATCCAGTTCTTCACTAAATGATATGTAATCTGAATTTTAAAATATTAATATTGATAAAGTTCAAGTGATAAGTGATAAGTTGTAAGGGATAACATGTAGTAAAAGATAACTTTTAGAAAAGGATATAGCATGGCTTTCATACAGACATCAGATGAACACATGTCAAAGCTTTTATTTAATTCATTAACTAGTGAGGGAACCAGTGAGACATTACAACTGGTTTAAGAAAGAGTTCAAAGAACCACACACACATGGGCATAAGAATGGTAAAATAAACTTGCTGAACAAATATAAAACTTCCAACTGTTCAATGTCCACAGGACAATAATCAGCTGAGTCCCAGTGAGATACAATTTGCATTTCTATGGACAAGAATAATTTGCATTACTATAAGTATTATATAACTTGCAGGAATGTACAATAATTCAAAGACAATAAAACATTCAGAGACCCCATAGAATCAGATCGTCTGGACAATGCCCAATCTTCCTTTGAAGACAACCATAATATCTCGATCCATTTCTAAGTCTTTTACAAATTTTCCCCTACAAATAATGCAAAAAGTACTAACTGCCTGTAGCTCAATGCATACAATCTGGAGGGAGGACACTGAAGGAGAGGAAGGTCAGCACTGGAACTGAATAGATTATAAGGCACATGGGGACTTATCCCCAAAGACAAAACTGAGACTCTCCCGATACACATGACGCACACAAGGAAGACCTCTGCTCTGACTATAAGCACAGACAGAAACAAAGACCTATGACAAATCAGAGGAGGGAAAGAGCTACATTCCATTAGAGAGCCACGGGGCTTACTTCATGGAAGAGGCAAAATGGAGCAGGTCTTTAACGAAGGAAGTTTTTCTGACTGTGGCAATCATTTCACAAAGTATGTGTGTATCAAATCACTACGTTGTGCACTATAAATATAAATTATTTTATCTGCCAGCTACACTTCAGTAAAGCTGGAGGGGAAAAAGAAAGAAGAGAGGTTTTAAATAAGTAGAATGTGAGCTGTAGGGGAAAAGCTTTTCAAGCAAAGGGAAGAGTAGGGGATGTGTGACACACATATGGTGTCCCCGGCTCGCAGTTCAGCGTGCTTGGGTGGAACGAGAGCTGGACAGAAGAAATGGAGGTTGAGGCCAAGTCAAGTTAGGAGGCTGGGAATTTGCTTTGTTCCAATAGGGAGCCAGCGGGTTTTTAAGCAGGGAAATGACAAGATCAATATAAGCGTGAGACAATTCTAGCAGCAATTAGTGGGGGGAAAAGAGATTGAAAGAGAAAAGGTCAAGGCAAGGAGGCCAGTAGAAACCTGTTGTTATGGTCAGGTTGGAGCCTAAACCTGACCATTGTGGCAAGAAGGAGGAGGAAAAAACAAGATACAGTGGTGATGCACCAACTAAGTGATTTTAGATTTTTGACCATGCATTCATATCAGTTAAAAATTTGAGCACACAACCCTCCAACTTATGAATATATTTATTATTTAATTATAAAATGTGTACTGCTTTACCAATAAACCAATATAATGCATGTAATTTGAAACATTTCCTATGGGGAGAAGGGGAAAAATTCCCCTTTCTCTCCTTTGGTTCTTTTTGGCTGGTCAAATACATCATCAGGAAGCAGATTTAATATCGCGCACACGTGGACCTCACATGCATGGGAGAGTCAGATGTAGAAAGGGGGACTGAGGTTTGCAACAAAACATCTGGACCTGGGGACGAGGTAAGGTGCCTTTGGGGCTTCAAACAGTCATAGCAAGATGATAAGAAAAACAGACCTTCGGTACAAAGAAGTTTTCCATGCCGTACAGGTGAGTCAAAAGAAGTTATCTCTGGTAATCTCTTATGGCCGAGGTCTCTAATTTAAATTCTTCTAGGTAGTTAAGGGCTGGGGACAGAAGTTTCTCTGAAGCCTGAAACCAAAATTGCCTTTAGCTCAAAATAATCTGCATACCAGTGAGGTACATCTTAGGGTGGCTCCTCTAGACTGCACGTACATGCTCACAAAACTTTTTTTTTTTTTTTTTTTGGTCTCAGAGAGCTTCAATTTGTACTTGGATTAATTTTGATGGCTTCATGTAAGCAGTAACTCTCATCTCAAAGTTCCATAAACTTACAGCAAAAGCCACAGTTTACAATGAGTAGATGTAAATTCTTATTTCAAATAATTTGATAATTTCAAAATTTGTTTCTGGTTTCTTGCAGATTCAGGTTGTCTACATAGGCATATGGAGACAACTTGACATTCTATATATGTCAGGTGTGATATATAACCTGTGTCTATATATTATATATGTATCTGATACATCCACATACTTTTTTAAAACCAAGTAATGTAGCTGAGGAGGAGGAGCTTGTATTTAGAGGAAAATTCTGTTCTGTATATTCTTCATGTTAGGTAGGTTTTGCATAATTAGAATCCTCTTCAATTCACATTCCCTGTAGGGATTTTTAAAGTCACTCTCCATTTTGTGAGTTTAAGTGAAAGTAGATAATACAATCTGTGAATTCGTTTGAGAGGCTCATAGGCACAACATGCTGTCCCCTTGGGACTCCCTTCCAAGTGCACTTGACATGACTCTCCATAAAGACCGAATCTGAGTACCAGGGGAGGTCCTTATATCAAATACTAATGAAGCCTTATTTTATTGTACTCAGGAATGTTGAAATAACTTCCTAGGCCCAAGATGAAGCTGCTCCTTCCCCAGGGCGCCACATCAGCAAACCAAAATTTAGGTAACTTTTCTATCCCTATAAATACTCCACTGAATCAGAATGCAGCACATTCAGTTAGTCCATCGCCAAATGCCAAGTCAAGTCTGGGCTCTAGACTCATTTCCTTGTTTCTTCTTATCCCAGAGAAGGTTTGGTATGTGGTCTCAGCCAACTAAGTATTTTCCATTTTTCTTTTCCTTATTCTTTATATTCTATAAAAGCTTCTTGCCTTCACCCTATTTTGCTATTGTCTGAAAAGTGACACTAACTTTATTTTCTTTAATAACTTTTAACAGGAATTAACTGTAAATAGAGGCTTTAGTGCTTGGTTCTGACTACCCAATGCCTCATCTTGTGAACACACCTCATCCCCATTGAAAACCATTCTTTAAATAATGCAGAGGGAAAGAGATACGTCAAAGATCAGCAGGAATGGCTTGAAGGACAGTGGTGTCAATGAACTAAATGGTAAACATAATAGCATGAATGGGTTTGGAAGGAAAATGAAACGTTTCCAACACACTTAGTCCGAGGTACCATGAGGCACCCAGTGAAGCTGTCCCTGACAGGTGTAAAAGAGTTCTGGAGCAGATGAGAGGATTCCAGGTTACATACTTGGAGCCAGGGTGATAACTGAGGCCGACTTGTAATGCAGGCTTCCCAAGCAGAAAAGCAGGCAAGAGAAGTCTGGAAAGCACTTTCATATCGGGGGGCTGAAAAAGCAAGATGACTCTTCTTAGAGATTTGTGGGAAAGGAAATAAGAGAGCCAGAAAGATGTAGTAGCATAGAAGCCATAAAAAGAAGACTGTAAGAAAGCAAGTATTTCAACCATGCTGCACTGTCAGGAAAGGTAAAGCTAAGATACAGACATTGGATTTGGTAATTTAGGTTGTGGTTGACATTTGAAAGAGTGGTTTAAGTAAAGTAATAGGAGTAGTAGTCAGTTCTCAAGTGTTTAAAGAACCAATAAGTAGTCAAAAGAATGAGAACAATAATCATAGACTGCTAATGAACAAACTAACAAGGAAAATGGGGACAGACTCATAGATGAAGAACAAGATAACAGCTGTGGGGTGGGGAAGGTTAGGGACTGGAGGGACTGAACAAAAAGGAAAAAGGACTTATGGACATGGACAACAGTGTGGTGATTGCAGTGGGGAGGGGGGCATAAGGGGACTAAATGGTAATGGGAAAAAATGCAATAAAGACTAAATTAAAAAAGAAGCTTGATGTTTAAGGAAGAAGGGAATTAGTGAATTAAGGAAAATGCTTTATAATAAGTAGGGAGCATTTGAGCTTCTATGGGGCAAACAGTGAAGAGGGATAAATTGAAGGTAGAAACAAAGAAGGAAGCTTATGAGACCAAGTTCTCATATGCAATGGTACTGACACAATCAAGGGCACAGATAACAGAGATAGCTTTGGGGAGGGGGAACTACAATTAATATTACTGTACTGCATGTTTCAAAGTTGCTAAGAGAGTAGATTTCAAAAGTTCTACTCACAAGAAAAAAATTGTAACTGTGTGTTATGATAAATGCATTAACTATATTAACTAGACTTATGGTGGTGATCATTTTGCAATACATACAAATATCAAATAATTACATTGTACACCTGAAACTAATGTTATGTCAATCATACTTGATTAAACAAAATCACATTGGTATAAAGAGTAATAAATGAACACAGTGGAGCACGAACATCAAACTGTTAAAAAAAAGGAAATAAAAGAAACTACTGGTAATGTTTAGGGGAAATAAACAAACCTGTGCTCCTCTTATCACACCGACTGCTCCATTTCAGTCTCCTTTTCCTGTCCTGTTTATCCTCATGGCTTCCTGTGGTACAACGGGAAATAAATATTTGGTTTAAATAAAGAGAAGGGGATAAAATGTGTTTTATTTTAATAATGCACATTGAGAAGATAGGTTGAAAGAGGTCCTCTTTTTATCAGACCTTTGAGAGGTGAGGTAACCCGCTGAGCATCAGTAAACGTTCTGCAGGGTTTAGTGGTAGGCAAATAAACTCGGAGTCACTAATAGTTTTTAGCATCATCCAGATCCTAGCTAAAGAAAGTTCCATCTGGTCAAAGAGGAAGTCAAGACAACTTTTGAGCCAGAACCCAGCAAGATGAGTTAAAAGGATAAAGTCAGGCAAGAAAATTTGACTTGCCCAAGGCAACAGCAAGGGGATGAGAGGAGACAACACATCTGCAAGTTATTTAGAAGGGAGAACCGGAGTGGAGCAAGTCAGCACAGCCAGATTGACACTCCTCTTTCCACATACTTGTCTGAGAAGGAAAGAGAGATGGAGAGGTAAACCACAGAAAAACACAGTCCATGGATGTGTTTCACTCAAAAGAGCAAACTGAGTGGTGGAAAGCAAACAGCCAGGAGAGAGGGAGAGTTTAAAAAAGACAGAGCGCTGATGGGCATAGGGATAACAGATGGAATCATGGACACCCCAAGAAAGGAGGACAGGAAGAGATTCAGAGCTGAGGCAGGGATCAGCTTTAAGCTACAGTGGAAAAAGGAAGAGGTCCACAAGCTAGTTACAGTATTTCACAAACCTTTTTGTAAATCGCAATTAAATAGTCAAGTTTCTTTACTTTTGGCAAGCATTAAATCAACTCTGCAGGTTAACACAATGGTTATTGCACACTGGTCAGAAATTTTAATTTGCTGTTGATGGTATCCTAGGATGTGATTGGCAGACCATATATTGTTAGCAGTGTTATCCGATACCTACAATATCTGATTTAATTCTTCCAGCATGTGATCATTTTTGGATTAGGAGAGTGACAGCCAAAAATAAGCGAGCATTTCCAGGGAACAGTGCCTACTATTTGTACACTTATTTAACTTTATTGCTTATTAGCATTACACCTATGACAGTGATATATGTGATTTCATTTAAGCGACAAAATCTTTCAAGATATGGGGTTCCTGGATGAAAACATAATAAAAAAAGTCCTTGGATGAAAGGAATTGGGATGACAAGATCTCCATTGTCCCTTCATATCTAACATTCTATAATTTTCAGAGGGGCCTGTAAACACAAGCTCAGGAATGGCTAAATGGGAATGTTGTAAAGAATACTTGAAAACACCCAGCTAACCAATGACTCATGCTAAACAAGGCAAGAAGAAAGGAAGGCAACGTCAACAACCATTCCTACCTGGAAGGCAATACAGGCCAAGGCCAAAAATAAGAAAATAAAATAGGATAAAAGAAAGGCGAAGTGTAGAAAACAAGCGTTTAATAGGGCAAAGTAGCGCTCACTTTATTGATAACTGCAAAGTGTGAACCCACTTGAGGAGTGGGAATGGTTGTTATGAGCACACTTTACATTTGGCACACCCACCTAGCCAACCTTTGTGTAAAATAGAGTGAGGGCTCTTTCCTCACCAACACCCACACTAAGCTAGGCTCATTCTGTACCTTGTTGTATCTTCTGTACCTCATCCGGTACTTCGATGTTTCTTCTCCCGCTGGAACTGGGCAAACTGAGGCCTTTTAAAAAAAGTTACAAGAGAAACGGGCCAAGGTGGTGAATTGAGAGCTAATGCTGTTCTTATCCGTAGCCTCAATACTACAAGGCGTCGTGTGGCAGCCACATGGGCCAGACAGCCAGAAAATAAGCACCGGTGACGGTGGGGTGGCCTTGGCTCCCCGCTGGGCAGGTTCCAGGGTTAGAAAGGTCAGGAAAGTGTGTTGGAGGTTAGGAGGAAGTGGAACGATGTGTACTTTTCTTATGGAACTGTACTTTTATTGCCCCAACCTGGGCTCAGGTAAAAGCCAGTAAGCTAGGAGAAAGTTCCAGGACTCGTATTCCGGTGCGGTTGGACCCCTGGTCCCCTCTCCTCTTCCCCTATGTCTGTGCCGCCACCGCTACGGCTACCGCCCGCCGGCGCCCATGACCCGGTGACCCTAGAAGGCCATCTGGGGCCCGTGACCCCGGAGCCCCGGGCATCCGGAGCCCCCTCGCAGGCGCAGCCGCTATTAAGGCAGAGGCTAAAGGGGAGGAGGAGGAAGGGGAGGAGACAGGCGTCCAGGGCGCCTCGGGAACCGGCACGGCGGAGCAGCGGCGGCGGGGCTGGGGGGAGGCCGCCCAGGCGGCTGGGGCCGAGGAGGGACAGGCGGAGGTCGGGGACGCCGCGGCGGCGGGGTCAGGCTCCTGGGTGGGAGGCGCGGGTGGCGGCCGCGGAGACTGGCGGCGGCTCCTCGCCTGGCTGCGGCGGCGGCAGCCCCAGTGCTGCCCCTGTGCGGCGCCCCTTCCCCGCTCCGCCGCGCACTGTTGTCATGGAGGAACCAAGATGGCGGCTCTGGCCTACAACCTGGGCAAGCGGGAGATCAACCACTACTTCAGCGTAAGAAGCGCCAAGGTGCTGGCGCTGGTGGCCGTGCTGCTGCTCGCAGTGTGCCACCTCGCCTCCCGCCGCTACCGAGGTGAGCGGGCCCTCCCCCCGGGCCCGGCTAGGGGAGGAGGCGACGCGGCGGCGGGAGGCCGCCCCCTCGCCCAACACCCGCCCACGCTCACGCGGCCGCCCGTCCGCCCCCGCGCCCGGCCCGCGGGGGAGGCGGTGCCCCCACGTTCCCCTAGGTGTCCCTTTCCGCGGGCCAGGCGGGCTCGGCCGATGCAGCGGACCCCAGTGTGGGGCGCGACAAGACGAGGCCCCGTGGTTCCGGGCCCCCCAGCCCCCTGCGCTGGGGTCGGGGACGCCTACCCGGGCCTGGCCCGAGGGGCTGCCGGGGTCCCGGCTCCGGCGTAAGCGGGGCGCAGGGAGCCGCGCCAGGCCGGGGGCTCGCGCGCAGGTGGACCGGCGGCTTCGCGGCCAGCCGGGGGCGTGTGCAGGCAAAGGCCTCCTGCACGGGGGCACTTCCAAATATAGTGGGGTCGCCGCTTTTCCGTGATAGGGGTCCGGCTCTTAGCTTTTGTTCAGTCAGGTCTCTGTCCTGCAACAGCGGGGCCAACCTGTTGTTGGACAGCAGCAAGGGCCGCCCTCATTTTCCTTTGCCAAGGGGGACAACAGCTGGCAAAAGATGCCCTTGGCCAAGTAGAGGAGGTGTCACCCAGACTTTGTGATTCAGAAATGTTTAAAGGGTTCTGGTTGCACACTTTTTACAAAGTAAAGGCACTGGGGCAGATCCCTGAAAAGAAGTTAGTAGTTGACAGTAACCCAGGTGGGCAATAGAAGCAAGTTGGAAGCAGTTTGAAAGGAGGCCTGTGCTGTTGATTCTGAGATTGGTGTAAAGGGGAAATGGAAACGACCTCCTTATTTGACAACGAATTACCTTTCAGTGATCAAGGAATATTTACTTATCCTTGTTGGTTGATTTGTTTAAAAATTTTGTAAAAATGCTCCTAGGAGAGAGACGGACAGGCTGAGGGAAATTAATAATGGTAGGATCTTTTCTTTTTTGGCGCTTATTATTATGGAAACCATTGTCAGGACCATTCTTGGTGACTGTGAGATTGATTGGTCAAGATGGAATGTAATGGGCAGGTGGGCATTTAACGCTATTGCCATTTAAGTAACTTCACACCCACTTCGGCAAAGTATCCAGTAAACTGGATTCTGGAATCTGAGCTGTCTTCTCATCCCAGGAAATCTTTCAAATGTAGAACATTTTGATCAGTTTTGCTATTTTGTTTTCTCCAATGTTTGAGGATTAAAAATGTCTTACTCTAGTATCATACTGGATGAATAGCTTTTTGTATAAACAAACTAAATCGATTTAAAAGATAAATTTTTTATACCCTTTTGGCCTTTTTCCTCCAGCCTCCTGTAAGATCACAGCCGTATGACTTGGGAGGGCTCTGGATCATCCGCAGTTGCTGTAACAGATCCTATGCAAAATAAAATAGCAATGTTGATGCATTCATTTGTGATAACTTTGAAGATTTTCTAACAACTATTAATCATATGCTAGTTGGGTATAAGATGACAGCAATTGAACTCAGTTTTTTTTAACTTTGGTGCCTTATTCTTAAAGGTAAACATGTAGTCTTTCTCCTTCCACACCCTCTCCTTGTCTTTAATTGTGCTTTTACATCAGATAAGTGTGGATACTAATGACTATATTTAGATTATTTCATCTTTTCAAGATCTGTCATCAGCAAGGAAAACAATGTCAGATGGAACTTTATGAGTCAGTGTAGCAATCTGGGGTTGTTTGTAAAGACTCCTCCAGAATCTAGTCATCAGCTTCCCTAGGTGTTTCAGTTCCTTGAGTGTGAAGCAGAACACCTGGTGTGTGTACTTGCCCAGACTGAATGTCAAGAACTTGAGCCAGAGACTGGGAAAAATAATCTTCCCAGGAACTTTTTAGCCATCCTTATGCTTTGGCAGTGTCAAATTCAGATGCAAAGCCCTTTGTACAAAGATAAACTGTACACTTGAACAACAATATCACATCTTTAGACTAAAAAAGGACTTAGATATAGAGGTTTAGGCTGTATATTAAAAATATCAAAAGTATGACAAATAAAATGGCAAAAATACATATCTATCAACAATTGAATCTGAAAAACAAACTAAGCAAACAAAATCAGAGGCAGAATCACAAATAAGAAGAACATTTTGATTGTTGCCAGATGGGAGCGGGGAGAAGGAGAATTGGTGAATGGGTGAGGGGATTAAGAGGTACAAATAGGTAGTTACAGATTAGTCATGGGGATGTAAAGTACACATAGGAGGTATAGTAGCCAAAGAACTTAGACGCCTGACCCTTGGAGGTGAACAGTAGGAGGAGTGCTGAGGGAGTAGGGCATTGCTGGGTGGAGGGGATAAAGGGGGGAAAATCTGGACAACTGTAATAGCATAATCAATAAAATAATAAAAAAATTAAATAAAAATAGAATCTCCAATGTGTGGGCATCAGTATGCATAGGCAAGGAAGAGTGAATGCAGTAGAATTCACATACTCAGTATCTTGCTTTCTTTGCAAACAACCACAAGTAAAAGAATTATATACAGCAGAAAGTAAAGCTTGGCAAACACTACATACTAACATTGAACGCTTACTATATGCCAGCTGCTATTCCAATGGTTTTATATTTTAATTCATTTTGTATTTATAACCATTCTGTGAGGTAGATATACTTTACCATATTTAGTCCTCTTCCCGGCCTGTTTAGAGCACTTCTGTAATCAAGATGAGCTTTTAAATCTTTGATTGAATGTCAAAGTTTAATTGATAACATTTTTTCCTACTGCTACATAAAATAATGATGTGTCTTATAATCAATGCTCTTAGATTCTTCGAATTACAGTGTTGTTTACATTTTAAAGATGAGTCATGAGGGTAAATTGCTTAAGAATGTAAATTAGTCTGAGGTAGGATTTAGAACTCTGTTCACCACAAGCCATTCTGTTACAGTCTGGTGTGCCTTTCTCAGAGCTTCTCACCTGGTGGCGAAGTATATGGAAGATGGATTGGGAAAGCACATTCCAGAAGGACACGGATGAAACCATTCGGAAACACTAATTCACCCTCACAGTACCAGCCAAGAGTTTTCCTGTTCTTTCTCCAGTAAAGTGACTTTAAAAGTTGCACGTGTAGAACTTCCAAATCTAACCACCTTACTTTTTGTCACCTGTTTTTCTTTTTTCTTCTTCCTAAACTCCAGTCTCACAGTCTAAATATGTTCTGCCCTTTTACATACCTCACAGGTATTTTATTTCTATGCCTGCAGTGGTCTTTCTCTCCTGCAGAGAAAGTACAGGTTTTGCCTTCAAGGTCTGGTTCAAATGTCACCACCACAGAAGTAGGAATTAGGAATTCAGTGTTTTCACAGCAATTACTACATACTTATCACATTGTATTGTAATAATTTGTATCTGTCTTCACACAAAACCCCTTGCGTTTCCAAGGGTATTATATTTATCTTTAAATTATCAAAGCTTAACACACAGCTTAAATTCATAAATAATTATTGTATAAATAGGTTTTTAAAGTCTTTATTTCCTTCTGTTTTTCCTCCTTGCATTTGGTAATTTTTGCTTTTAATTGAATTTCATGTTCCAATAGTATGTTCTCATCTCAAATTTAGAAAGTAGGTGTTTGTTGCATTATTATTATTTTCACATAATTGAATGGTGTTTTAAAATAATTAAGCTTTTAACTACGTTTAAAATTTTTTTATCAGCCTCTAAAATGACTGAATCACAAAATGTCCATTAGTATTATGGTTACAACGTGAAAACATTATGTCTTTGACAAAAGGCCAGTATCTATTGCCTTGAGGGTAGTTCCCATCCAGATATATTTCAGTTTTTTAATTGATAATGTTAACTTTAATTTTGCATTAAACTTTGCATTTTAACTTGCTTTAAAGCATTTAAAATAAAGCATTAATAATGCTTTAATTTTGTTGAAATGTTACCCCTTCCTATCACTAGGCATATTAAATGCAAATGTTACGTATTGCATATTTTGGAGAAAAGTAAGTTCAAGGCTTCAGGAATTAAAGTGAGAAAAAGTAGCTCTATGTCTCTCAGACTTTCCTTTGATAGAAAAATGCAATGTATGTGACACTGCTTGTAATGAGGCACGCCAGCTTGTCTAAAGAAAAGTGTAAATGGTCATTTTTCAGCACAGACTGAAGTATAACTTGCTGAATTTTAGGCAAACAATATAACAAGGCACACCTAGCTTGTCTAAAGAAAAATGTAAATGGTAATTTTTCAGCACAGACTGAAGTATAACTTGTTGAGTTTTAGGCAAACAAAATATACTACAGATCATATTGTAAACTTTATGACCTAGAATTTTCATGGTTGGTAGAAAGGAACAGGCAGCTTTGGTAGGATGACTCATCCAAATGTGCAGTGTGCCAGAGGCAGTATTCTATC